CGCCCCCCTTTCCTCTCCGTTCCCTTCCAATCAGCTCCGGGAGGGCAACGTAACCGACTTTATTAGGAACAAGAGAAGAGTCGGAGAAACTGCGCCCGACGCAAACCCGGAGCTTGGTCCCAAGGCTGTGATTGCTGCGTGTGTAAATGCATTCGGTCGTCCCAGCTTGGGGGTGTGGGTTTAGCATTTGGGGCCCCCGACCTTCGCGCGCTCCGCTTCCAGGTCGCACCCCCAATCGGCCTTCTCCGTGCACAGGTCGGAGTTGTGGGCCCGGAGGTGGGATGAGTTACGTTGGGGTAGGGTGGGAGAGAGTCCTCGGCTGGAGACGCGGGAAGCTGGAGGGGTCGGGGGTCCGGGGCTGAGAGTGTATCCGAAAGGTGTTGCTTCTGGCCTCCTGCCCTCTCGCAATCTCCCCTCCCCCACCTCTTAGAGCCGTAAGAGCGGGTGAGTCTGGAGCTCCCGGTCCTACCCAGGCGCCTAGTAGAGCGCCCCCCGCCCCCTGCAGGTGACAGCTTCCTTCTGTCCCAGGCATCAGTGCCCGCACTGGGAGACCTCCCCGGGGTGCACCTCCGGAACCTTTTGGAGTCAAACAGGCTTCCGAGCGAAGAGTCTCACCGACCGTCCACTCGGAAAAACTCCCGTCCTTTCGCTGACTCTGAGTCTCCATCCATCCTCCAGCCGCTCCGCACGCTCGCGCCCCTCTGCCCCTTAAGATTTGGGACATCCCGGCACAAACTTCAGCGCCAACTTTGCAGCCGGCGCGGGCGCGAGGCCCAGCTTCCCTACTTGGCGGTTTGGGGAAAGTTTGCGGAGCGGAGAGAGGCAGTCCACGGAGGGGTTCCTCCGTGCATCCCCTTCTTCCGTGCATCCCTTTGCCGGCGCCCTCGTCGTGTAAGCGGCTGGAAGAATGGCCCTGGGGTGCGGGCGTTGCTGCGTGAGCTGCACAGGGTGGGACCTCGAGTCGGGTGCTTGGCGTTTTGTCTCCAGATTCGAATTTGATGGGAACAAGTGAAAGGGGGTCTATTACTGCAAATCACAGGCACATCCAAGCTAATTGTTTTAAACAAAGGAGAATGGGTGAAGCTTTACGAGAGAGAAATTCCCGGAGAACTGTCTGTCTTCTATGTATATATGTATCTACGAAGCGGAAAGGGGTTCAGAGTTTTCCAAGCTCCTTCCTCAATTTGGGCCAAGCAGCTTCATCTTTTTATTTCTGGAACTCTCACTCCCCGCGTGCGTGCGTGTACACACACACACACACCTTTTTTTTTGTATACACACACACACACACATATACACACATTGGTTTGGCTTTTGTGTTAACGAGCTCTCGTCGGGCTGCTTACAACCTCCATGTTTCCCTGTATTGGATTTGAGGCTCTTAATACCTTCTCTGCTGGGAGCTGAAGGCAGCCTTCCTGTGCCCTCGCAGTGATTATGCAGCGGTTACAATTACACCTCTTGTCTCCCTTGATGAGCGGTTGCAGTTAGATGCCATTGGATCTTGTGTGATTTCAGTGGCAGACCATAATTAAAATTTCTTGCACCTTGTGCTTTCAGAATTAAATTGGCCTATTATCCCTGTCTGACCTTCATCCTCTTTGAGGTTTTTGCACAAGCAGCGAACCATTACACATAGTTTCCTGGTGTTTGTTGGTGTGTGTTTCTTGTTCTTTTTCTAAAGCTGATCTTGTCGCCTTGAAGAGTCCATTATTCCTGTTGCAGATTTCCTAGGGCACTCTGGGAACTAATATAGTTTCTGGAATCCTACCACCTTCTCCCCACTGGAGAAGTTCCAGGGACACCTGTGAGGGTCTGCTAGACAGAGTTACTGCGGGGTAGCACACTTAATTACTCAAATTGAGGTCGTCTGTGAAGTGATGCCAAGGCTGATTTTTCCCAGAATGCTTGGTTAGTGACCATACTACACAACAATCCCCAAAATTAATGACAGTCCTAGCTGTCACTAGATTCTCCTCAAAGAATAAACTGCTTTAGTTCCAACTTTCTTTGAGAAAGCAAAAATATCTGTGTATATACCAGTTGTGGAGAGGATTGTATAAGTAAACTGTTGAGTTTGCCTTCTTTCTTAGTTGCAAAGGCTATGTCCTCAGTTCCAGTCCCAAATGCAAATCGGACCTCACCCATGTTTAACAGTGGCTTAGCTTTTACCTCTTCCACTTGAGTACTTTTTTTGCTCTGGAACAAATCAGGAACTTGGGTATGCTATTAAGACTTGAAATGGGAAATAAATGTCAACAAAAGATAAGTGATAAGTTTTTCCATCAAACTTCTCTAAACTATTAGATTGTCAGAGAAGTCATGACATATTTTTGTGTGTTTCTAAATTTGTCTATGCAAAAATGCATCATGACTTTCCCAATGACCCAAAAGAAAGCAGGTGAAACTGAGCAAAGGGCTCCAACCAAGTAGGCAAGTGGAGGCAGTAGCTGAAGGAAGAGTGTGTAGGCCAGAAAGTCAAGGTAAGGTTCAGAAACCGACTTCTCTGCTCTCCCCAGTTAGAAGAGAACTCCTCTATTCCTCAGTGCCGCTGCTAAACATGTCATCGGTCAGGGAACCCTTCTACACTGTTGATGGGAAGGTAAATTAGTACAGCCACTTTGGAAAACAATATGGAGGTTCCTCAAAGACGTACAGATAGAACTCCCGTACAAACCCAGTAATTCCACTCCTGGGCATTTACCCTAAGGACAGGAAAACACTCAGTCTGAAAGACATTTGCACGTCCGTGTTTATTGCAACATTATTCACAATTGGTAAGACATGGAATCAATCTAAGTGCCCCAAAATGGATGACCAGGTTGAAAAACTATGGGATACACACACACACACACACACACACACACACACACACACACTATGGAGTACTACTCAGTCATAAAAAAAGAACCTGTCATTTGATAAAAAGTGCACAAATATAGAAGATGTAATGCTAAGCAAAGCTAGCCAGACTATGAAAGGACAGACTTTGTGTGTTCCCACTCAGTATATACAGAATGTCTGCACTTCAGAAAGATACTGAAAGACTGGAAAATATAATAGCACAAACAGCAAGAGGAGATCTATACACTATATCTGAACAGTGTGAATGGATGGGGATGGGAAGAAGAAAATCAAAGGGAAAAATAAAGGAAAAGATACCAGGCCAGAATGGAAATGTGTACGGTAATATTTTGGACTTGTTTGACACGCAGTGCATTTACACTTTAAGAACCCATATCATATGCTGTAAAAACATACAGTGAGTAAATATAAGTAAAAACAAACAAGACAAATAAATATTGGATCATCAGAAAAAATGACACATTTTTTGAATTATTTTATTTAACTGTATGTATGCATGTATGTATGTATTTATTTAAATTTGACCAGAGAGGGATAGAGTGTGAGAGAGAGAGAGAGCAAGCCTCCAGGTCCAGGACTTGAGCCACAGTTGGTCATGTGGGAGTCCAGCACCCTTAACCACTGTGCCACCTGCCAGGCCCAATAGACACATTTTCACATAGAAACATTTTTACATGACTTTTCAGATGACCCAATACATAAATAAATTAATTAAAATGCACACTAGCACAAATGGATGCATTGTGGCTTTCTAATACACATGCAGTAGACTGAGAAAAGGGGATGTTCTTTTTGCACTGGGCCATGTATGTTTCTTTTTGATCACTTTTGTCCTTGAAAGGAAACATGGCAATGTAGGAAGGGCAAGATCTAACTGGCCAAGCTCTTGATTATAAGGGAGGGAGTAACACACACACACACACACACACACACACACACACACACACACACACACAGTCATTACCCCTCACACAAAAGTGGCAAACCATGAGCCCCAAAGTAACCAGGCAACTCAGTTAACCAATAGGCTTCAATCTCTTCATTGGTAGAAGAGTAAATTTAGGTCCCTTTTGCTTCCCAAATTGTAAACTTTAAGTTGCTTAGATTTGTATGATATTTAGGCTAGTGTTTGGCTGCAGCTTTTTAAAATTGATGTGGGAAATTTAAACATTAGCACTAAGAGTAAAAGCAAACAGGAGGGTCGGGTTTTGGTTTAGCCAGATTACATACTATCCTACCCAGTGGTCTTTTTTGTTGTATTTTTGTTTTGTATTTTGGCTTGCTTTGTTTATTTTCTTTTTTTTGTGGGGGGGGGGGACAGAAAGTGAGAAATCACCCCCCAGGGGAGATCACCACGCTGCAGTCCCTTCTCCTCCATTCTCCTCTCGAGATCTTGGGCACGCACGCACACGCATTCGGCTTGAGTTTAAGCCACCGGGTCCGGGATTCGAACCGTGGTCGACTACATGGGAGTCCAGCAACATAGCCATTACGCTAACTGCTGGTTCCTGCTTTG